GTGTAAGGTTTAGACCCGTTGTTAGGGCTTAGGGTGTAGGGTTTAGGGTTTAGGGTTTAGGGTTTAGGGCTTAGGGTTTAGGGTTTAGGGTTTCGGGTTAGGGTGAAGGGTTCGGGGGTGGCCCGGGCATCGGGTGGGAGATAGGTGGTGCACCCCAAGATTTCTGAAGAAAGGCGTGCTCCCCGGGTGCGCGTCCACTGATGTGCAGCCCTAAACCCTATACTACTATTTGCTTCAGAAACCCCTAAAAGAAACAAAACAAAATATGTATATATATATATATATACATATTTATTTATTTATGTATTTATTTATTTTTATCTATTTATTTATGTACATATGTATATATATATACTCTGCCATATAAGGGCAATTTCGGGATTATTCTCTATACTCTTTTCGGGCTTCTTATAGAACCTAAACGCGAAACCCCAAACCCCAAACCCTAAAGCCCCGAACAAAGACAGGGCTCTTCTTCTTGTGCGCCGCCTGCACGCGGCGGGCCCAGTCAAGCGAAGACCTTCACCAGAGCAGAAGCTTGGCTGAGGAGTTGCATGAGGTTTCTACAGGGCTCAAGTTGGTACAGGGTCTTTAGGGTTTAGGGTTTAGGGTTTAGGGTTTAGGGTTTAGGGTTTAGGGTTTAGGGTTTAGTGGGGTTCAGGGCTTAGGTTTCAGCAGTTGTTAGAGGCATTGGGGTTCTTAGGGTGTGTAAGCCAAGTCCTTATTTGTTAGGTGTGCTATGCTGCTCTGAGTATGGATCTCTCTTTCTCTCTCTCTCTCTCTCTCACCTCTCTCTCTCTCTCACTGAAGTACGACCCCCGTTTGGCAACAGCGACCCTCATCTTGGAAATCACCCATACAGGGTTAAACCCTAAACCCCAAACCCGCTTGGATCCCAAACATGCTGAACTCCGAACAGAAGACCAAGCAAATCCCTGAGCACTAGAAGGCCTCCCCATCAGCCCCCCTCAACCAACACCTAAAGCCCTTCTCCCAGCATACCTTTCGGGCTAAAACTTAGGGTTTAGGGTTTAGGGTTTAGGGTTTCGGGTTTAGGGTTTAGGGTTTAGGGTTTGGGGCTATCGTGACTTTGCAAGCCAGTTGCAAAAAAGGGTTTTTGGGCTATTAAGGTTTGTTGCGGCACTACCCTAAACATAAACCCTAAACCCTAAACCCTAAACCCTAAACCCTAAACCCTAAACCCTAAACCCTAAACCCTAAACCCTAAACCCTTAAGGGCTGTTTGCTGGGATTTTCTTCGAGTTTATGGATTAAGGACTCTAGGCCCGAAAAAGGGCCACGAACTTCCAAGGCGGCCTCCTACGCGGGTTTAGGGTTTAGGGTTTAGGGTTTGGGGTTTGGGGTTTAGGGTTTAGGGTTTAGGGTTTAGGGTTTAGGGTTTAGGGTTTAGGGTTTAGGGTTTAGGGCTTAGGATGGGAGTATGTTCCCCCTAGCCGCTGGAGTCTTGGGGGGGTTTAGGGCTTCGGGTGCGAGTACCACAGCTACGTACCTATAGGTGTATCTAATTCTGCGAGGCACCCTGGATTGAATCTCATGCTCCCTGAACCCTAAACCCTAAACCCTAAACCCTAAACCCTAAACCCTAAACCCTAAACCCTAAGCCCTAAACCCTAAACCCTAAACCCCTTAAGCCCTAACCCCTGACCCCACCTCTGCGACCGCTCCACGCCGGAGTCCGTGTTCACCCGAACTGGTGCTGTGGCAGCCATGATTCCTAGACCCTTGCGCTGTTCGCACGGGAAATTCTGCTTCCAAGTGCTTGGTGATCCCAGATGTGCTGCGGGGTACAAGGGCGTGTTTGCACGTTCATGGTACTTATCAACCACTTATACCTGTACTCATAACCCACTTATAAGCCTGACAATTGGAGCCTACCAATTGATTAATAAGTACCATGACCCTCCGGGACCAGGTTTAGATCCTAAACGTCACTTCAACTAGAAAGGAGCTAATGCTTGCAGCCCATCACCCCTAGGCCCGCGTTTCACCCTACATCCCAGAACCCCCCCTCCTAAACCCTAAACCCTAAACCCTAAACCCTAAACCCTGAAACCTAAACCCTAAACCCTTAACACTCAGCACCCTCAACCTGAGGGTCAACCTTCGAGAGTCGTTTAGGGCTTAGGACTTCATTCATGGCCTTCATAGTGGGGGTACCCATGTAATGGGTTCTGTACTGTAACACTCCCGAATTTGAAAGCCTACAAACCCTACCTGAAACCCCAAACCCACCAACATTACCCGAAACCAACACTCTGAACACCGAGTACGCTTTTCCTGCATCTCTATTCACCACACCTGAGCAGTGCTTGCCCCTTGATTGGTAGGTGCAACCCATGAAACTAGAGGTACATAGCGGCAAGGTGTCGCGACACTATGCCCGCTGAACCCCCCTCGTAAAGTCCCAAGAGCATTGAAGCCGAGGCCCGAAAACCTAAGTTCCAAACCCTATAAAACCCTTAAAACCCTACAAACCCTACCCCCCCACTTGGTAAACCTTACAAACCCTAAACCCTACAAACCCTCAACCCTGAACCCTGAACCCTGAACCCTATACCCTAAACCCTGAACCCTAAACCCGAAGTCCCATAAGCCGGGCTGAGGTTTAGGGAAAAGCCCTTAGCTCTAAACGTCCCTAAGCAACCCTAACTTATACTAATCATACTAATAATAATAATACTATTATCATTATCATTATTATTATTATTACTATTATATATATACCTATATACAGATGTTGTTTATAATATATTATACTATATTAAACTATATTCCATTATGTTATATTGAATCGGGGAGGTCCCAAGGAAAAGCATCGCCTAAACCCGAAGCCCTAAACCCTAGACCCTAGACCCTAAACCCTAAACCCTAAACCCTAAACTTTTAAGTGGCTCCCAAGGAAAAAAGCGCAGCGCCTCGGCGGAGTCGAGGTGCCAAGATGGGAAGGCGATGACGCGCGGCTTCGGGGACTCGATCCCGGAGATCTGGCTTTGGGAACTTTTGAGGGGGTTTAGGGTTTAGGGTTTAGGGTTTAGGGCTTAGGGGGTCTTAGAGCAATTAGCGCTTAGCTAGACTTGTTTTCCTCCTCACTACACGTCTACTCTGAAAGGCAGACTTGTATAAATGTTAGGCACTATTATTCACAGAATGCAATGTATTATATGCAGCTACCTTTCAGACGAGTAGCTTAACGTACAAATTAGAGGCCAGTATTTGCACAAGTCTGCCGTTCAGATTCGAAGTATAGTGCGGAGGAATGCTAATCTAAATAATTGCTGGCTGCACGAAGAGGCCAGAATTTCGAGTCTCCTACTTGTACAAGTCAGCCCCTGAGACTAGTCTCGTCTAACGAGGAGGGGGGGGGGGTAATCTACTTAAACCTAAGCCCCTATGCGAAGTTCTCTATACTGTGAAGAAGATACTTGGCACAACGGTCTTTTGGTGTTATAATGGTCTTGTAATTGACTATTCGAACTATGGGGGCCAGTCTTGTAACCATTACGCCTTTATGGGGAGGTTTGTCTTGGAGGGGGATGGGGGGGGTTACACGTAATATATACATATATACATATATACACATATATACACATTACATATAAATATATACACACCTTACTTACGGTATAGGCTTTTCAAGTATGTCTAATCGAATATGCGAGGCGTATATACATAAAACTCCCTAATATATATATATATATATATATATATGTGTACAGAGAGAGAAAGAGCGAGAGAGAGAAAAACACAAAGCCCCAAACCACTGAAGGTATACTGAGGAAGCCCGTCACACCATTTTAAGCCCCCAGGCCCTAAACCTCAAAAACCCAAAATCCTAAATCCTAAGTCCCAAGCCCTGAACCGTAAACCCCAAAACCCTAAACCCAAAATCCCCCGAAATCCTAAACCCTAAGCCCTAAACCCAATAATCCTCCGAAAGCCAGGCGGAGGCACGCTCGGCTTCTGCAGCAGCAGCCACTTGAACGACCTCATGTCCACATTCCGAGACACTAGACCCAAACCCCAGGAGAATAGGGTTTAGGGTTTAGGGTTTAGGGTTTGGGGTTTGGGGTTTAGGGTTTAGGGTTTAGGGTTTAGGGTTTAGGGTTTAGGGTTTAGGGCTTAGGGTTTAGGGGGGCTTAGAGCCTCGGGAGACCAAACCCGACGAGTGCTCGAGTTGGGGGGAGGCGCATACCCTTCCTAGGGGTTTAGTTTAGGGTTTAGGGTTTAGGGTTTAGGGTTTAGGGTTTAGGGTTTAGGGTTTAGGGTTTAGGGTTTAGGGTTTAGGGTTTAGGGTTTAGGGTTTAGGGTTTAGGGTTTAGGGTTTAGGGTTTAGGGTTTCGGGTTTAGGGTTTAGGGCTCAAGCCCTTGAATCGTAGGTGCTCAGGGTAGAATAGAGGGTGGTTAACACCCTAAACCCATGGAGCCCTTGGGTTTTAGAGGGTCTGTAAGGGGTACATAAGGGTTTCCCCCGTGTTTACTAGGATGGCCCCTAAAGCCTCTGAGAGACATGTTTCTAAATATGATATAGATGTAAACAAACATGTACATATATATATATATATACATATACATATATGTACATACATATATACATAAATAAATAGATAAATAAATAAATATGTATATATATAGATATACATATATATATATATATACGAAAACCCAATAAGGGGAAACATGAAATATCCCAAGGGAGGGCTTCGGGTTCCAATCTATGTGGGGCCAGAGCTGTGCATTTTGGGGGCTGAGCGCTCCTGAGCTGCGGTCATTACCAGTGAGGGTTTCGGGTTTAGGGTTTAGGGTTTAGGGTCTAAGGTCTAGGGCCAAGCTTAGCGGCTCGGGCTGAACCGAGCACAATCGCCACGCAAGGACTGTTTAATGCTTGCTGGTTGCCGGTCTTCGGCGACACACGCGCGCACTTCACTTCGAAAAAGCTGAGCACATTCGAAGAAGCTGCACACATTCCTGCTCCATTGCTATCACGACAGTGAATTTGTCGGGCCCGAGCCTAGCAGACGCACGACTTCAGCATGGCCACATTTTGCTGCGATGCACAGTGCCGTGTGGCCCTGTCTGTTGGCCAAGTCCTTATCGGCGCCAGCTGCTACCAGCAATCTCACCACTTCCAACTGGCCACACGCAGCTGCCGTGATCAGTGCTGTGTTGCCAGTGTTGTTGGCCATGTCCTTTTGGGCGCCGGCCGCCATCAGCAAACGCGCGACTTCAACGTGGCCCGGGATAGCGGCAACCTGCAGGGCTGTGTAGCCATCGATGTTGGCCGTGTCTGTGTCGGCGCCGGCCTCCAGCAGCACACGCACGACTTCAACGTGGCCCTCGTCAGCTGCCATCGACAGGGCTGTGACGCCATCGTTGTCGGCCTTGTCCTTGTCGGCCCTGGCCTCCAGCAGCAAACGCACGACTTCAGCCTTGTTCATTGTTAGGATAACATTAAAAATCTAAATGCTTATTCTTTAATGGGTTTAAGTACCCGAAAAATGTGAAATGTTACCCAACTATGACAAAGCATCGTGGCCGTAGTGAGCTGCGTTCATCAAGACTGTGGGCTCATTGGACCAGTGGTGAGCAAGGTTCGGGTCCAGAGGCCGCTGCAGCATGGACTCGACCTGGCGGCTTTTGATGAATACTACAGGAATCAGAATTCTGGCGTGGAGCTCTTGTCATATTAGAGTGGAGCTCTGATTATAATGGGAACACAGGAAGCAGGTTTGCCCTAGCAGTTCACCGAACTGAACGGTCACGCGCCACACAACCCACCTGTTCGACTGAGCCATCCACGGCGGCAGCAACAAGCTCGTTCGTGTCTATCAGGGAAGGACTGGAGAGAGGAAGCACAACAAGCTCAAGCTCTCGAGGCGAGTCGATATTGGCTGCATCATCCAGATTGGCGCCCTCGAGGACGAGCCTCTGCCTGAAGCGCGGCGGCAGGCCATGACGCTGGTGCAATCGCTGCTTCACTTCCCTTATGCAGCTCACCTCCTTGACAGGCATGCTTGCCACCTCCTCACCCGAGAGCTTGCGGATATGCAGCATTGTCGGATGGAGAAGCTTGAACTAACACTGCAGAGCACACATGGCTAGAGTCGCGATCTCCAGGGCGTAGGACCTTCGGGGATGCCGGGCAACACCCGAACCTGACAGACCACACGGCCCACAACTACGTGGCTGGACGGATCAAAAACACATATAAGGATCAAAAGAACATTAAGCCGAACGGCTCAAACAAATAAAAAAAGAATCAAAAGCAAAAACCTGTCGTGATAGTGGTGATGGTGGTAGGAAAAACCTTCTATAAAACCTCTATTTCTTCATATTCCCACAAAAAAGGGCCCCTCTTTTCTTCATGTTTTCTTAGGAAATCCTCTGTTATCTCTATGTTTCCATCGGAAAACCTCTATTTCTCCCGGTCAGCCGGATGGCGCTTGTTGTTTGTTTGTAACTTGTTGTCTTTTTATTAATCTCTACTATGTTTTGTTTAATTGATCCCTCTTGTTTTCTTAATCCCATGCCACATCTCTACGCCATGCACCCTTATGATCCTCATGCCTCCACTGCGAACAAGAGTTGTCTGAGAACCCAAAAACCCGATAAAGCAAACAAACGCCGTCATGGCCCTAACTCCCAATCCACGTCGGTTGGGGGTTTAGGTTCTGGACCCTACAAATGACCCAAACACAACGACCCTCCCTATACATGCGGATTTATACCCTAAACCCTGAAACCCAAAAGTCTTCTCAACCTGTGGGGTCCATACACTCTGCAGCCCTAGAAGCTATACATCCCTGCACCCCATGTCCTGCAAGCCAGCCCCAAACAAAACTCTCACAGTCCTGAGCACCCAAACACCTTCAAACCCTGAACCCCAAATTCCCCAAACTCCACCCAAACAAACCCTAAACCCTAAACCCTAAACCCTTAACCCTAAACCCTAAACCCTAAACCCTAAACCCTAAACCCTGCAGCCTAAAATCGGCACAGGTACGTCCAGCGCTGCTGCCAGTGGTCTTTCGAGGCGAGAGACTGGCAAGGGACGGCGATGCAGGAAGTCGTGCTCATTAGGGCTTTGGGTTTGGGGTTTAGGGTTTAGGGTTTAGGGTCTAGGGTTCAGGGTCTAGGGTTTTGGGTTTAGGGTCTGGGGTGTAGGGCTTAGCCAAGGTTTAGGGTGTCACCAAAACGCCTTCGGAAAAAAAGACATGCGCCCTGTGATCGGGCACATTCCTCTTTTGTCCTGGAGCAGTGCTTGCCCTATCGGATGGCGTTGAAAAACATTGCAAATAACATGGTCGTCACTTTCGGGCGCTTTGGTGCTAATCCTCAACGCTAAACCCTAACCCTAAACCCTAAACCCAAAACCCAAAACCCTAAACCTTGAACACTAGACTAAGGGTTTAGTGTTAAGGGTGGAGGCTCCCTTGTATGCATAAGTAGCCCCGATATTACCCCTAAGGTCCCTTAGAAGGGTCCCTCGTTAAGTTAAGGCACCCCCTCCTACACGCCTGCCCTCTCCCACTCTCCCCCCACCCCCAACCCCCCGCCTCCTAGTTACGGTTGAACACGGAAACCTTTAACCTCTCCACCCTAAAACCACAGCCCCTAAAAAAATAGAAAACCTATAGACCCCACAAAACCTATAGACCCTATAAACCCTACAAGCCCAAGACGCTCTTTAAGTCCTATAACCCTCAAACCCTTGAACCCTTTAATCCTTCACCCTTAAACCCTAAAAGCCCTAAACCCTGAAACTTGCGTTGTGGAACGTAGGAACGTCACCCCAAACCCTACGCCCTGAAACCCTTGAAACCCTGAAACCCTTAAGTCTACTGTACCTAAACTCCCAACCCTCAACCCTAAACCCTAAACCCTAAACCCTAAACCCTACACCGCACGCCGGAGGCCTCTCGACCATACCAGTTCATGACCTTAGCAACTGCTGCAGGAAAGGCTCTCCAGAGCCGAACTGAATTATTTCCCCCCACGCTATGTATGGTCTCTTTGCAGGGTTTAGGGTTTAGGGTTTAGGGTTTAGGGTTTAGGGTTTAGGGTTTAGGGTTTAGGGTTTAGGGTTTAGGGTTTAGGGTTATCCTGGGTTTAGGGTGTCCGGTTTAGGGCTTAGGGGTTGTGAGTTTTGTAAGTTTTGTAGAAATCTGGTGTATAGGATCTGTAGGGTCTATAGGGCTTATAGGGCTTAACCTCATGGGCTTGCAAGATTTCGTGTTTTCAGTTCAGGGCATTAGCCTACTACAGATTTTAGGGCTCAAGATGTAGCAGCGCCCCAAAAGAGGAACGATTTTCTTAGAGAACTGCCCAAGTGTACCCTAAACCCTAAGCCCTAAGCCCTAAACCCTAAACCCTAAACCCTAAACCCAAAACCAAAACCATAAACCCTAAACCCTAAACCCGAAACCATACTGGTTTGGGGTTCGGGTTTTTTCGGGGGAGTTGGCCTTCGGGGGCTTGACGGGTTTAGGGTTTTAGGGTTGTAGGGTTTCGGGGTTTACGGGTTTCCTAAACCCCCTGACCCTAAGCACCCAACCCTAAAACCGATTTTAGAGCCCTCTGACACCAAAAAGGAGCTCTCAATCTGGCGAATCTCTCCTGTCAGAAAAATAGAGCCCAAGAATGGCTAAATAAGAGGTTAACCTTTCTTGGGCTAGAGTATTCAGCCTCTATCATGGGTTCCCCTACTTCCCCCCTCTATAATTACTACCCCCGCCCTAGGCTCCCCGCTAAAATAACCTGAATTAGGCTCAGTTGTCCCTAAATAACCTTCATTATGGGGGGAACCCAGGGGTAGTAAAGACGGTGGTAGTACACCTAAACCCTACCCTAAACCCCAAACCCTAAACTCTAAATCTTGGACTGCGTATGATATCTTGTAGTAAAATTGTATGTGTATATATATATATATATATGGGGGTTGTGCGACAACAAACAAAAACCTTGACGCATTGACCCCCAACTGGTAAGCCCCCCCCCCCCCCCCCCCCCCCAACCCCACAGAAATATCCTAAACCCTAAAACCTAAACCGTAAACCCGAAACGGGCAACCTCAACCCGTTTAATCACAGGTATTTGGTTTACGGCGCATGGGATAGGCGCTTTAGGACTTGCAGATTTGGAGGCCCACACAAACCCCTGGAGTGATTCTCAACCAAAAACTCTGCTGGGTTCACATGAGCTCTAGGGTTCAGAGGGGTTCAGAGGGCTTTAGGCTTGAGGGTTTTGGGGTATTAGGGTTCGGGGTTTTTAGGGCTTCACGTATTTTTGGTAGGCTTTGACCCTAAACCCTAATCCCTAAACCCTCCTAAACCCTAAACCCTAAACCCTAAACCCTAAACCCTAAACCCTAAACCCTAAACCCTAAACCCTAAACCCTAAACCCTAAACCCTAAACCCTAAACCCTAAACCCGGTCAGAAACTTTGTTGTGAGGCCGAGCCCCTGGCATGGTGCGAAGCCCAGGTGTTTGAGAGCACCGCGTAGCCCGGAACCTAGTTCCATAGACTTCATGGACTGACCCTAAACCCTAAACCCTAAACCCTAAACCCTAAACCCTAAACCCTAAACCCTAAACCCTAAACCCTAAACCCTAAACCCTAAACCCTAAACCTTAACCCCTAGGAATTTGACTGCTTTGGGGCCGAGTTCCGCCCTAAAGAGCCCAACGGCAGCAGGCTACTGGTCCTGAGACCAAGATGGCGCCGACCTACAGCCGCAAAACCTCATATGCGCGCTCCTGAAGCCTCAAAGAATTTGCCCGTTTCCTCTCTTTGTTTTTGAGGGTTTAGGGTAGAGGGTTTAGGGTTTAGGGTTTAGGGGTGTGGGGAGTTGTATAAGAACCGGCAACAGCCCTGAAGGATAGTAGAACACTGGAGGCCCATGTTCACCTTAACACTTAACACCCAAAACCCCAAACCCCCCAGCCTTCGGCAAAAGCCCTAGACCCTTAACCCTCAACATGCAACCAAAACAAGCTGATAAAACCTAAGCCCGAAATCCTAAGCCCCAAATAACCCTAAAGACCCCAAACCCTGAAGCCCAAAACCCCACAAAATCCTCAAGACCTTAAACCCCAAAGCCAAAAGCCCTGAAAACCCTAAAGACCTGAACCCTAAAACCGCCAAAAACCCCCCCATTCCTGCAGCCCAAAAGTCCCGTAAAGCTGGCTTTAGGGTTTCGGGCTTAGGGTTTTGGATTCAGGGTTTAGGGCTTAGGGTTTAGGGTTTTGGGTTGGTAAATAGGGGCCCAGGTATTTTGTAAACCCTAACCCTAAACCCTAAACCCTAAACCCTAAACCCTAAACCCTAAACCCTAAACCCTAAACCCTAAACCCTAAACCCTAAACCCTAAACACTATACGAATACCCTGAACCAGGCTGCGCTGGCTTGGCATCCCGGCGTCGTAGACGCGGCCGTCGACGGTGAGGTTGCGCCGACCCAGGTGCTGCGTGGGAGCGGGGGCTGGGCATCTGTTGGTGGGTTTAGGGTTTAGGGTTTAGGGTTTGGGGTTTGGGGTTTAGGGTTTAGGGTTTAGGGTTTAGGGTTTGGGGTTTAGGGTTTAGGGTTTAGGGTTCGGGTTTAGGGACCCTAAACCTCAACCCGAAACACTATCCAGGGCCTGAGGGCTTTTGCTGCTGGGTTGGGCCCGAAAGCTCAGTTTAACCCTCAGCCCTGAAGGCTTGGCTTTAATGGCTTCAGGTCGGGATGTTCCACCTTATACTCACAGTCCTTAATGGGATTATAGTAGAGGGTACTAGACTCCCCATGAAGGACTGTTAGTATAAGGGGGGAACGTCCCAAGGTTAGGGCTTGATCAGGGGCTCAGGGTTCTTGGCACATCCCAACTTGTTTTTGGGGCTTCGGGGTGTTCGAGCCAAGAAAGTTCACAAGTTTCGGGGGGGGGGGGGGGGGGTAGAGTGAGGGTTCATGTTTTGGCAGGTAAGGAGGCGTGGGTGTGCGCTGTTGGCCTCAGAGTCGAAGCTCTAAAAGCATTAAACCCTCGGTATCGACCCAATGCGTAGACCCTGGCACGCA